AGCCACACCAGATCTTGCCTTCAAAGAGACTTACTCTGATGAGCGCATACCATGAGTAAGGAACAAAGTTTCCCATGGACATCCCCACCACAAGGAAGACTCAGGTACTGCTGGTCTCAGAAACTGACCCAGCAGAGCCAATGAGATTAGGATCTCGGATCCCAATGCTGGAAGGGATCTCGAAGTTTCCTTGGCTAAGACCCTTTCTGCCAACTGCATAGCCACGTGGGACCCCCTCCTGCTTTATAGCTGGCAGTGCCCTATGGTTACTTTCTCCAGTGGCCAACAGTCTTCATAGCTACTTTAAATTCCTTAGGTTGTGGTTTAAAACTTAGTTTTCCATATTTCCTGATGATGGTACAAAGAAGCAATCACCTTACCCAAATTCTGAAACCATTAATGATCCTTATTCCTCCCAGCAAATCAGACTAATCTTGGGAATTTTTACAGTTCCCAGAAATCTGATTTCCTAACCCACAAGGACCACTTCTCTGCCATGTGCTTCAGATGGACACACATCCTTGTAGCTGAGAAGCCCCATTGGATCTGACCCTAGCTGGTTGGAGGGGACACTGGGGCCTCCCAGGACTGGACCTCCGTCTTGGCTCTACCTTGCCTATTCATGTATGACTGGACAGTGGGGCCCTGTCCAGACATGGGTGTACATGGTCCATTTGCACCCTATGCTCATGGGCTTTCTTCTGTACAGTGGAGCTACTGTCTTTGTTCATGGTCATCTTGCTATTGGCCTCTGCCCACTGGCCCACCTGCCAAGTTGATTACCCATTTGTCTTTCCAAAGTACTTGAATTAGTCTTCTCCCCTCCCCCTTCTTTTCCCCTGATGCACACATCTCAAGCACATACTTTCCAGTCAGGATTATTTAAAAATACATATTTGTACACATTTTATAGCAACAAAACTTGTGTGGCTCAGCTCTGTAACCTGAGGACTTCTGCTGAGCCCCAGTGTATAGCAGAGCATAGTTGGAAAATCACAACTCTAACCTCATCCACAGATGTGGAGAGAGAGAAACAGTACTTGATTGGCTGGGAATTCTCAATGCTGAGTTGTAGTGGCTCCCTGAGGTACTGTAGTCTACACTTCCAAAAGTGGGTGTGCCTGTGGTCAGAAGGGAAGGCAGTGAGTCCAGAGGAAGCTGGGAATTCTCCATGAGTTTGAGTTCTGTCCGCAGCTGCTCCCTTGCTTCAGCAAAGCCAAGTTTCCCCCAGAGAATCCCATTCACCTAGGCAGAGTGGGTGGTTCTCCCCAGAAGAGAGTCAGACACAGGCCACTACGGATCTTCCTAGCTAGCTGAATCAGAGCCTGTGAAGATAGCTACTTTTCCAATGAAGCATTTCCGAATATAACACCAGAAGCATCTATACAATTGGAAAAAATTATGTGAATTTTAAGGATTGAACATGTATTTTAAACAAAGGAATTTATAGATGTCTTAAAAGCATACACATCCACATTACACTGAGTAGACTGAGTCTTTTTCTCCTTTGCCTGCCTTCCTCACCAATCTCCTGCCTCTTCACACTGTGTGGGGTGTGTTTTGGTGGTGTGTAGCAGCGAGTATTGGCTTAATTTGAGTTTTTATAAACAGCATTTGCTTGGAGCCAAATGCAGAACTAAGTAATAGAGTAAACTCCTTTGTCTTGTTCTAAATCCTGGGAGTTCACTTGCCTTACCCTAAGGCCCCCCACTCTGTGCCTACCCACACCCCTCCTCCCTGATGGCAGCAGTCAGGCCCTGGCCCCTGTGCTGCCTCTTTTCTGTGCCTCTGTCTGGTGCCAGGGCCCTGAGCTGCTGAGAGCTTCACTTTGTGAGATCACTCCCATGGGCTTCCTTCAGCTTCAAGGGTGTGGGTGGCCTCTAAATCACTCTATAGTGCTAGGAGCAATAACCCAGAAAGTCCACATGGATAAAACTTGGTCCTCTTCTCTGAGTCTTTAACCAAAAATGAAGTCCACTGCCCTGGCCAGAATTCTTCATTGGCTGTATGACAATACTTAATTCGACAACTGTTTCCTCCCAGAGGATGACTTTTAGTGTAAGCATGCCCGTCTTTAAGAATCTGACTGCTTCTGGGAATCAGAAATGTGTGTTTATATTTCCAATACTTCTGGAGTGCCAGGTTTTTTGTTTGGTTTTGTTTTCAACAAAATATTTGGCCCTAGAAATGCAGCGACTTGCTGCTCTGTTGCCAGGAGCTTCCCTGCCAAGTGTCTGTGCACAGCCCACTCCTGGGTGAGCTCCTGGACAAAGCCTCGTGCCCTGGTGAGCCCTGCAGGCTGCAGCCACTATTCTAGCCAAGGTCATAGTCTTGAGCACCAGCTCTGATTAGGCTACTCAGGCATTGAAGTTGTCTGCAGGCGTTAGGAATTTATGTCACTGAAGAGTGAGCAGTGTCATTGAAAGAGCATGTGCAAGAGTGAGCTTTCCTGCAGACGCTTGTACCTAAAGAAAAGCAAGGGGAATAGTAGGACCCATGACAGCAGTCCTAGGCCCATTACTTCCCCTTACCCCTCTGACAGAATTTCAGATTCAGAATTCCTCAAATACTCAGATGCCAGGATTGCCATTGTAACAGAATAACAGTGGCTGGGGGGACACCTATTCAGTGGCTCTTCAGAAAGAACAAATTCATTGGGGTAGATATAAAACTTAAGGAAAATGCTCAATAAACCACCCATTGAGACTCACAGCAACCTGACCAACAAGGTGAAAACCATTTAAAAAATACATTGTCTTACTGGAGAACTTTCCTCCCCTGGGTTTCACCAGGGAACTTCAGCATTACATGACTAATGGGCACGTAAATTAGATGTTACTAAGCAACAGACTATTCTCACTTCTTGCTACCCTGATCAGGGCAGGGAAGCCAGCCAGCAGTCACAGTGATGGGGACAGCCTTGAAGACCTATAGTCACTTGGATGACAATGGCAGAGCCACTAGGGGTTTGCCCCAGCCAGGTAGGATGTTTGCACCAGGCCAGCACTCAAGGATAAGGGCACTCACATACACCAGGCCCCCACACTCAGCAATGAGTACTTATTCTAGGTCCTGACAGCTGTCTTACTTTGGCCCTCATATCACAAGTCCCTTTAAAGGAAAGCTGATTTCCTTATCCAATGTGGCTTGTGCTTCCTTTTGTCCCAAGCACCTCCCACAGGCTCTGAACATTCATCCTAGTTTGCTTGCTCCCGCATCCCAAGCAGCATTTGAGTCTTATGTTTGAAATGGGTTCATTTGAGCCAGCAACTCCCTGCTTCCCTTTGTGCCTCATGCACTTGGAGTGTCCACTGCCCTTTACCTGTATCCCAAGGCTCCTTCTCTGAGACTTCCCAGCTCTCCTGTTATTTCCCACCTCATGCTTTTCTTTGCAGCTGAACCTTATTCACAGTGAAATCAGTAATTTAGCCGGCTTTGAGGTGGAGGCCATAATCAATCCTACCAATGCTGACATTGACCTTAAAGATGACCTAGGTAATTGGGGACGGGGTTCGGCACCACCAGCTGTCAGATGAAAAGTTATGGAACCCAGAATTTAGGCGTTTCATCTTCCCAGACTTTACAATGGTGAAGCCAAATTTCCAAATCCAAGATTGATATTTGAGTGTGGACACTGAACATCGACTTACTCCAGACCCTTCCAGTGTAAATGGTCTGATGTTTCATTAAGTGTGATTGGCTACTCTCTCCTCAATTGCAAACATTGCCATCTAAATTCTCTTCCATAATGATCAAACTGACTGCTGGTTACTTGGGGAGGGATTTTTAAACGTGTTGTTTTTTTTGTTTTGTTTTGTTTTTATTTTAGAACTGAAAAATCTCAGGTAACTACAAAATGATAGTTTCTCCATTTAAACCTTAATTAGAAATGACAAAGCTTGAAAAAGAAGACAAGCCACATCAGTATGGTATTAAGCTGCCTTTAGTCCACAACTTACTACCGTCACTTCAACTTTCTTTTAGAACTGAAAACAGTATATGACTGAATGCCACCTTCATGAATTATTTGGCTAGAGAATGGTATTAAACAGAAGGGCAGTATCTCCAAGCAAGTTCTTATGGAAAACTGCCCCAGAACCATGGTGTCTCCCTGCTCAAGATGGCGGATGGTTCAGGGTAGGCTGAGAGATGCTCCTCAGTGTCCTGCCTCCGTGGCTTTATCTTTGCATATGAGGCACTGTCAGCTCAATGGCACAGCAAAGGCTCCTCTGCTGCTCTTCAGTGTAGAGGCTTGCCGGGGAAATAAATGCAGTCTCCTTCCTAATCCTCAGCTGCAATCTATTTTGAATGACTTTAGCTCTCAGCTTCTGCTGCTTTTGTCAGATGGCAGACTTCCTTACTGGGAGATAGATTCATTCCATGAGCCCAGGCCTCACCCACACAAACTGAGTGCAACGGTGGGCTGAAAACATGAGGACTGGACTCAAGAGTGTCCAACTTGAACTTGTTTTCCAACTACCTTATACAGATACTTAAAAAAAAAAAAAAAAAGTCCACAAGCTAGAAAAATCAAGTATTCTTTCCAAAGCGCATTTTATACCAAAATACGAAGGCCAGGTACAGTGGCTGACACCTGTAACTCCAGCACTTTGGGAGGCTGAGGCAAGAGGATTGAGTGAGGCCAGGAGTTGGAGCCCAACATAGGCAAGATAGTGAGACCTCATCTCTACAAAAAATAAAAAACTTAGCTGGGCTTGGTGACATGTGCCTGTAGTCTCAGCTATTTGGGAGGCCGAGGCAGAAGAATTGCCTGAGCCCAGGAGTTTGAAGCTGCAGTGCGCTATGATTGTATCACTGTACTGCAGCCTAGGCAATAGCAAGACCCTGTCTGTAAGAAAAAAAAAACCCATAAAAATAAGATAGGCTAGAGGAAGAAATGGGCCTGGAAAAATATTGATAGAGATCACCTCATATGTTGAGGGGGGGAAATAAAGGTAATTCTCTATGTGTATCAATACTGTTTTCTGGGTTTTCAAGAGAAATCCCTTGAAGGTAGACAAAATGGTAAATGTTACAAGAATAAAAAATCTAGGCTGCAAGTTGACTGCTACAGACAGAATGGAGAAACTTGTTGTTTTGGTTGGCCTGATGGTCCACTTTTTTTTTTTTTTTTAAGCAGATGCCATGTTTTAGTAGCCTTCTCAGTGGGATGCCAGTTCTATAGGCTTTTGCGAAGTGAAACGGGGCATTCGTTTTATTTCTTTTAACCTTTGGAAATGATCTCATGTGTGTTTCTCTTTTTTTGGACTTGTCATTCAAATGTTTAATTTAAACATGTCACATTTGATATTCCTCCTCCTCCTGTCCTTACCCCCATCCACATGTGCGCACACTGCGTGGACTGATTGCCCCTTGGGCTCATATGTTGGAATCGACCAGGTAGGCCAGCCCTGCCATTGGGGCATTAGTAAATGTGCCTGTGCGTGGGTCTCGGTCCAACACAGTTGATATACATTTGTTTACCTGTTATAGTTGCAAGTTGTACAGGCTGACATTGCCTCGATCGACAGTGATGCTGTCGTTCACCCGACAAACACTGACTTCTACATCGGTGGTGAAGTAGGTAATGCCTAGCCGGGTGCTGCCGAGTGTGTGTGTGCATGGTCAGTCGGCCGCCGCAGACAGCTTGATCCTTTGACAGCTATGCAGGGCTGCATTCATTTCACACTTCCAGCTGTCCTGACCTTCCCAAGGTCTCCTGTCCCTGGGTCGTGAACCTAGAAATAAAGCTAGCTGTCAGTCAGGATGTGATGCGTCACAAATGGGCATTTCTGGTTTGAAAACTGGTTCAGCAGGATCATTCCTTCACCTGCCCCACAAGGCACAGCTTTGTTGGAGACTGGGTTCACAGATGATTTCAGCTGCAGGAACAATACAGTCACAGGGACTGAGTGGCATCCAAGACCACCTCTTTGCACTCTAAAGAGCAGACAAACACAAATGGCTGTGCACAGATCATCCCCCAACCCCGCCAATCTGTTTCCATGTCAGAAGCACACTTGTTTCTGAAAATGCCTTAAAGCCTCAGGTGCACAAGGAGGACCCTTTACAAATGCTTGCTCACACTCAGGGTTCTCAGACCTCAGATGCATGAAAATCATGTCAATCTGACATGGTATTCTTAGACCACTCATGAGAAACATCATCCTAGACCCAGAAAGCACCTTCCTTTCCCCTGGCAGCTGACAAGGCATTGTTGTTTGATTCCCGGTGTGCTCAATAGCTGAGGGTGGCTGAGACAGAGGGCACTTGAGATGCCACATCCCGAGGTTGAAGATTCCTGGCAGGAACATCAGATAGTGCCCTGCTTTCAGAACACACTGAGGGGCCTGTCTGAGGAGGAGACACCCACGTGAGATAGAAAAAAAAGCACAGCTTTGGAACTAGGTGGAAGGAATTGGAATCCTAGCCTCACTATTTACTGATCATGGGGCCTGGGCAAGTCATTCAACTCCTCAGTGTTTCAGGTTCCCTATCTATAAGGTAATGGTAATGATGGGAATTACATTAAATGTAAGCAGAGCATCTTTTTTTGTAAGGCCTGGCTCATGATTGGTGCCTGCTGTAAGGTATGACTTGTGTGTATATGGGATTTTTATAGATGTGCTGGTCCTGAGAGCAGCATTCTGAGTCTGGATTCAAATACCAGCTCTGAAAGAGAATGGTTACATTTCTAGTCAGCACACAATGAAGTCATCTGGCAGGATGAGGAGACTGGGATTTCCACAAGGGTCCCAGATGCTAGATGTGTAGTAGCTTACAATCTCTGGCTTGTCAGCCGTGCTTGGCATCACTAGCAAAAACTGCCATTCAGTCTTCCCCAGCCACTGCAATTTGGACTAATCACTCTCCTGGGCATTTTGGATTTTGGACATGGATGGAAAGAAACTGGATGGAAAGTCAGGATTTGCCAAGTCTGCCAGGCCAAAATGAAATCGGGCTATCGACAGTTAAACTCCCCTTTCACAAGACTTTGGAGGAGTTAAAGGGCTCCAAAGTCAGACAGCTTAAGGGAAAGATGCTTCCTCTTTTAACCAAGTGAAAATTTAATGGGAGGGAAGTACTTATTTAGAGAAAAATAAATGAGAACAGCTAAGGGCTTGTCTTTGTCATATCTGGGAGTGACTAAGGCCTGGGTTCATCCTGCCATCCAGGACATTTGGCGAAATGGGAATTATGAAACTTCCTGGGAAAAAGTATCTTACCTAAGTCCTGGGAGAGGAGAAAGTCAGCCTGCCTGCTGCAGCCTGAGGAAGGCCATGCCTAGCAGGATTAGCCATGCCAGGAGGCAGAGTTGCAGCTTTGAGACAAGGCGGAAGCTATGAGGGAGTAACAGGCAGAGCAAACTGTGCCACCCAGAAGAGCCCAGTCGTTCCTGAACTATGACTAGAACGGGTCTCTTTGGAGTAAGGACAGTGTTAATGCTTTTCCTCTATGACATGTTCGCCTACAACCCACAGATAGCCACAGGGTGGGGATTATTAGCTTCCAAGCCACAGGAGCAACCTGGACCCAAAAGCTTGCCCAGGACCCTGGCACACATCACTCACTGACATTGTCCCAGCTGTAAAAATCCTCAGCAGGTTCAGATATCCCAGCTGGCTAAGGCGGAAAGACTGCCAGGTCAGAACCCAGTCTTCCAAAGCCCCCCAGGGCTTTTTCTGCCCAGTGGACCAGCCCAAACCAGTACTGACCCCAAATATCTTTTGCGATCCCAGTGATAAACCAGATTCCTACATGGCTTCAATTGGTCCCAGCTCCCACTTTGATGTGTGAGAGGAGAAAAGAGGAAGCTAGTAATCACTCCATTTCTCATATTTGGTGTGAATTCCTGAGACTGCTGGAAGAAGGAATCCGAGTGCAGGAATGCTTAGCCCCAGTGATTAACTTTTACCCATCAAAAGTTCTTTCTAACAGTGAAATAGACCACAGGCTTAGCCTGACATTTGTCCAAGCCTAAATTTTCGCTTAGGCTGTTTTGAACACTGATACTTATGCCTGCTTTCTAAGCATGAAATAATGTTCTTGTTCTCATGGGAGTAACACATGTTTATGCTTGGGGGCAAATAAGCCAATTGCTTTATGATTAACCCTGAAGTTAAGCCTAAAAAGAAAGTCTTACAATAAGAGTGTTGACAATATGGTTGAAAATGGGCCTGTTTCTTGTTAAAAAGTACACGTGTGTCTACATGAACATGTGCATACATATGTGTCTGTAGGAGTCAAGTCCTGACTGGGTTGATTGCCTGCAATCTAGGGTTCAGTTTTTAAGTTTGGGAAATGCATTTAAGTGTATTTTTAACTTGCAAATTTCACTTTTAATTAAAGCAATATTAATAAGTAAAAATTTTAAAGTAAACACTCTTCCTAAGATAAAACACCTTTAATTATAAATCAGCCCATTTTCTTAAATATTTTAGAAAGGAGTTGGACTCAAGATAAAGTAAAAACATTATTTTACCTTTCAGATTTCTCACTTCTCACCAAAGAGTTAATTTGGTAAATAATGAGAACCCTAACTAGTCCAGCCTCCAGTGTTTTCATTGCCCTGCCTCAAGCCAGGGAATGGGTTTAAAAGCAAAGGCTAGACTGGGCCCCAGGGGCAGCAGTGTGTGGAATCCAGCTGTTTCACGCTCCAGATTCCCTTTTCTCAGCTGCAGGCATAGTTTAGGTGAACCTATATCGGGGTCTCACTCACCTGGGTTGCATCCACTTTGTGATGGTGGAGTTGGGCTCTAAGCCCCTAGCTTGCTTCCTCCAGTGCATGGCCCATTCAGCTGCCACCTCTGATTCTGACTTAACTAGAAACATGCAGCAGCAAAAGGTGTGACATTCTGACTCTGCCATTTAAAGCCTGTGCTGCTTTTCAGGACAGGTAAAGGCAGGTGGACAGTCTGAGATCATGAAGAGTGACACAAAATCCCACCTCAAGGGGCTAAGTTTGTGCCTCTCCCAAAGCCCTGCCCTCAGTCACAGCCGAGTGCTCCTCTGGGTGATGGCTGCTGGTCATGTTCATCTGCACACCCCAGGTTTTCTACATGGGTGGGTACAGGCCCAGTCCTAGCCATTAGCCCTTGTTCTTATTTGGGAACCCCTAGGCTGTTTACTTTTCCTCTAAGACACCACCTGGGGTTAGTTTACCCCTGCAGAACAAACACTGAAAGGAGGCAAGTTTCACTAAGATAATTAGCCCTACTCATTGCAGGGTGACTCCAAAGAGAATTTGGGCTGGTGCATTCCAGTACAGACTGTCCCATACCAGAATTGTGCCAGGTGCACCTGGAATTTTCTAAGACAAATGGTGAATCTTAAGGGGAGTATTTTGTCCTCTTATGAGGAAAAGTACTTTAAAATGTGCAAAACTGAGGAATCAGAGCTTAAGGAAGACTCAGACCCATTTTGGCCAAACTCGAAAGGCTGATATTGTTGCTAACTTTGATTGCCACGTGCTATTCCACATGAGCATCAACCCAGAGTTCTTATGGGTGTTGGTGATCTTGTTTGGGAACTTGGTTTCATAGCAGGAATTGATTACTTCGCAAGTGCCCCAATTCAAGAAAATACATTACCCAACCTCCATTGGCTTTTATAAAAAATCTGGTCCTAAGCAGTTAGACATCCTCCTTTCCAAGCTTTTTATAGAATACAGATTAATCTTTAAGCTCTGCTTCTGATGCTGCCCTCCTTTACTGAAAATTATTCTGAATCCTTAGTGTAATTAAGAAAATTCCGTCTAAGGCCATTTTTATTTTGTATTTGCATATGACACCAAAGCTGCAAAACAGGAACTAAGCATGGTAATAATGCTGGTCCAAAGGTGGCCAAGTATGAACACTTCTTTCAGGCCTGCTGCCAGGAGGAGAGGGCTTCTTGATGGGAGCATTGTGTGCTGCTGAAACCTCCCTATTTGGGGGTTCTCCCCAGAGACAGAGAAGAAAACCCAAGGTGGGCATTAGTCTTGGAAACCAGTACCAGCTGGTATCTCATGCCAATGAAAAGCATCCAGGACAAGCATACTTGCAAAAAAACAAGCATCTCCTGTCTCCCTCACATCTCTGGTACATCTATGATGTGAAGAGTGTTTACTTTAAAATTTTTAAATTTTTAAAGGTCATCCATGACCCTGAGTCAGACCCAAATAAGGGGCAGCAGAGACAGCCAGGTGAAGCAGCAATGAAAGGCTAGTAACTGGTGATGAAAAAGCCCTTCTCAATTTCACTTTACTAACTCAGCCAAGACACTTAGTTCCTGTTTTGCAGCCTGATGGAAATTTAGCTAGTCAGATCATTTGAAGTATGTAATCACCTGACATGCTAAGTGTGTCTGTGTGCCAGAGATACAGAATAGCAACCTGACCCCACCCTGTCCTTGTCTAGGAAACACGCTGGAGAAGAAAGGTGGCAAGGAGTTTGTGGAAGCTGTTCTAGAACTCCGGAAAAAGAATGGGCCCTTGGAAGTAGCTGGAGGTGAGTTGGGAAAGCCACCGTGCTTATTTTGTTGTGGCACATACAATATTAGGAAAACCATTTTGTGAGACAGCTTAGAATTCAGGGGTACATTGTACTACAGCCGCATCTTCAAGATGGAGGCCAAGGACAGCCTGTAGCTTTACAACTTAGAGTTTCATGCATTGTCTGGGAAAATCACCTTTGCATTTTTTTTATTGCTTCAAAGAGTTCCTATATGTTTGATGTCTAGATCTCAAATTTTAAGGAAT